ATTATTATTATTTATTTGACTGCAAATGGGTTTTTACCCGGTGGCAGTGGTCCTACAATAAGACACAAAACAATAAGACACAACAAAAACAACAGAACAATGAGACAACAAAACAGTAAGACAAAAAAACAAGACACAACAAAAACAATAAGACAACAAAACAATGAGACAGAACAAAACAATAAGACACAAAAACATAAGACACAACAAAAACATTAAGAAACAACAGAACAATGAGACACAACAAAACAGTAAGACAAAAAAACATAAGACACAACAAAAACAATAAGACAACAAAACAATGAGACAGAACAAAACAATAAGACACAAAAACATAAGACACAACAAAAACATTAAGAAACAACAGAACAATGAGACACAACAAAACAGTAAGACAAAAAAAACGTAAGACACAACAAAAACAATAAGACAACAAAACAACACACCACACTCAAAATTAAACAACTCATAATATTACAAAACCATATAACCTAAAGTACATAACTTAAAAATTCAACTAGACATAGGACAGTAACAGTAATGAATTACATACGTCATAAACTGATTCACTCACATTTCATCAGCACCTTCTCTACACTTCACTACACTTATGAAGCCTTCCCATCCTCACCCTAATTCACCCCCCTTCACTGCACCCACCCATGTATTCCCTTTACTTCACCTCATTTATCTACGTACAGAGACTCATCTCATGGACAAGCTGCTTACACAAGTAGAATTACCTTTAACTTTAAAATTCAAGAAGCAAAAATATACATTTTAAGAAGGCTCATGCATTTGATGACCTGCTTGCTGGTTTTGATTAAGGAACGTTGGTTTGTTAGAATATTGCTATGGTGACATTCCTGTCTTTGAAAGTTGTGAATAGTTAGCTTCAACTGCCGAGAGACAGCAGGTCATGGTCAGGGCAGTGAAAAAATGTAGACTCATAAGTAGAAATCAGCATTTTAGAGAAACATACTGTCTCCATTTTCAGGGTTGAAGTGGTGGTGCTAGGAAGAGAAAAGTTCATATAGAGTGACAGGAAGAGCAGACTCGGAAAGACCTATCTGTGAACATTTGGAGTGGGAACAACAGTGAAAATTAAGTGTAGGGTTTTGAAATTTTTTATGATGTTTGAGGATTTTTGTTTTATTATGACTTAAATGCTAGTATTGGGGAAGGAAGTAAAATAGGGGCTGAAATATTCTGGTGTTGGATGATGAGATGAATTATAATCTGCCATGTACCTTTTGCATTTACATACGCTACATAGCGCTGGAGGCACCTACCTCTACTGGATGAGGGGTGAGCTCTGGCTGTCACTAAAGTCCAGGGTGTAGTACATCTCTGTTGTGTCAAGGGATGGAAAGGATCGATTTGTTGATGAACCCTTCTCCACTTCTAGAGCATTGGATCTGTTTCTGGAGCTGCAACATAACATAGAAATGTAAATTAAAGCTACCTATGGGATGAAACTAATGGGAATAAAATTTAAAAAAGTAGAATTCTGTCTTCCAGAAAAGATGTCATATATTCATTATGAATATAAGTTTGGTATGTATGGGGAAACAATAACTGTTTAATGTAAGGGCTGCAGGGCTGGTCCAAGGGCATTTTGCACCCAAAGTGAACCCTTGGCCTTCCACTCCCCTTCTCCTTCAAATGACTGACAAACATGTATACTGTGCTTTAGTATGCAAAATGCTACAAAGTTTTTATCTTAAAATGTAATGGTAATGTTGCTGCAAATAACGCTAGTGCGTAAATTAATGCATATGCTTGAAACTCTTTGACAGAAAATCTCACCTTTTAATAATAAAGTACAACCTTATCCGCCGATTAAGTTTTGTATGTGTAAAATCTAAAGAGAACGGCTGAAAAAGGCGAAGCAGAACCTATTAACACAAGCTCTGTCGAGTAACTCACGATGACGTCTAAAGTTTCCCGTTCTCGAGGCGATCTGTTTGTAAGAAAATTGTGCCCACTGGATATGTTGTCGACTTCGCTGCACACACCAACCATTTATATATGACATTATTGGAGGCATATTACATGGCCACGAACGCGAACACACATTTATTCCCTGCTTCTATTTCAGTTTTAGACTAATTATATTTTTCCATTAGCTAATTCTCTTCATTTCTTCATTCGCTGTTCCCCCAGCCCCAATTGTGCAGCCTAGGCGAAGAGAAATAAGTGGATGTGAAGTCGATGATGGACTAGAGGAGGATTTTTTAGTCGTCTCTGGTCAATACCTGACCGTCGTGCCCCCTTTCGGGGTTTTCTTGCGAAGTACCACGGTGGTTTCGCCTTGCCTTCCGTGGCCAGTATTTACCCACCAGACTGGAAGAGGAGACGCGGACAAACATCCATGTCTTGAGTGGGACTCGAACCCACGGTCGCAGCGGCCAGGCGCACGAGGTCCATGCCTCAGACCGCGTGGCTACTGTGGCCGGCAGAGGAGGATATAGCAGATCACAAATAATAGGAAAATGAATAAGACAAAGTTAAAAAACTACCTGCTTGGCTTGACAACCTCCTCGAGGTGCGTGACCTTACAGGGCAACAGAGGGGCGGCGCTGGGGAAGCAACGCTTGTATGTCTCGTGCACCCTGCAGTGGCATGCAGCCACCTGAAACACATTTGAAAAGGCAAGTGACAGCTGAAGAGAGACATTCTGCATACAGGAGATCGGAAGGAACGGGCTGAAAGAATGACCTTCCGAAACAAATGAAAAACCTGCCAGTATCAACCAACTGTGCTTCTGCTGATTTGTGAAGGAAGAAAACGCTGGTATGGGAAATGTGTCCGCTGTAATATCGTTACCAAAAGCGTCACATATACTGAATAATCACAATTACTTTACTGTGTCAAGTTTTTAATCTTCATGCCATTCACATGGAACCTCACGAAAATTTGTATTCAGTCTGTCTGAACGTATTCAATGACAATATTTATATTTGGGTAATATTCCAGTAGTGCTGGTTAGTTTGGTTCGTATCGATCGAGGTGCAAAGTAACAGGATCCAATAAGCCCTCTCGTTCCAGTACTTTGTCTCAATTCTTATCGAAAGTTCTGTTGACAAGTTTTCCAATTCTCCGGACCGACAGTTGTGTGACGTGACACCCGTCTGAAGCCTCTTTTTATATGAAATATTAACAGGCCTGTCTGCTCCACTCTTACGCCATAGAATATTATGTTCTCAAGTAATTTGTATTTCTTTTCAGTTCTTTCTTCCATGTTGCTGTATTTTCATATACCACTCTATAAACTGGTCACGTAAACTTTTAAAACGCCCACGAACTTCTTTGGTGCTCAAGATTTCTTGTAGGAGTTTCCACGCGCACGTGGAATTCACCCCTATTAACGTTATCCATATTAAAATTCGCTTAGGAAATCTTCGACAAATATGCAAAGGTTATGTTGGAGGAGGATATAGCAGATCACAAATAATAGGAAAATGAATAAGACAAAGTTAAAAAACTACCTGCTTGGCTTGACAACCTCCTCGAGGTGCGTGACCTTACAGGGCAACAGAGGGGCGGCGCTGGGGAAGCAACGCTTGTATGTCTCGTGCACCCTGCAGTGGCATGCAGCCACCTGAAACACATTTGAAAAGGCAAGTGACAGCTGAAGAGAGACATTCTGCATACAGGAGATCGGAAGGAACGGGCTGAAAGAATGACCTTCCGAAACAAATGAAAAACCTGCCAGTATCAACCAACTGTGCTTCTGCTGATTTGTGAAGGAAGAAAACGCTGGTATGGGAAATGTGTCCGCTGTAATATCGTTACCAAAAGCGTCACATATACTGAATAATCACAATTACTTTACTGTGTCAAGTTTTTAATCTTCATGCCATTCACATGGAACCTCACGAAAATTTGTATTCAGTCTGTCTGAACGTATTCAATGACAATATTTATATTTGGGTAATATTCCAGTAGTGCTGGTTAGTTTGGTTCGTATCGATCGAGGTGCAAAGTAACAGGATCCAATAAGCCCTCTCGTTCCAGTACTTTGTCTCAATTCTTATCGAAAGTTCTGTTGACAAGTTTTCCAATTCTCCGGACCGACAGTTGTGTGACGTGACACCCGTCTGAAGCCTCTTTTTATATGAAATATTAACAGGCCTGTCTGCTCCACTCTTACGCCATAGAATATTATGTTCTCAAGTAATTTGTATTTCTTTTCAGTTCTTTCTTCCATGTTGCTGTATTTTCATATACCACTCTATAAACTGGTCACGTAAACTTTTAAAACGCCCACGAACTTCTTTGGTGCTCAAGATTTCTTGTAGGAGTTTCCACGCGCACGTGGAATTCACCCCTATTAACGTTATCCATATTAAAATTCGCTTAGGAAATCTTCGACAAATATGCAAAGGTTATGTTGTGTGCTACATGCGACAAGTTGACTGAATCTGATACTCAGAAGAATGACAACCCCTTTCAGACCCCGAGGACACAGTTGTGCTTGTCCGGATATATTTCGCGTGTGTGTTTTAATTACTTACACGTCTGCGTCTGTCATTTTTTCTGATACACTCTTAGATAGAAAATTAAGAGGAAGGGAAGGAAAACAGATTGTATTTTGTCATTTCACATAATAATCGGAATGCACGCGCGACCGCACATAAACAACAGCATGAAGTTTCAACACCGCTAATATTAAACCAGAGCCAGATTAAGTCACATTTCCGTAAGATTTGTATTACTATCTACCCGTCTAAGTCTGTATCCAAAACGGCTCCTTCCCTCGGAGGTTTAAAATCGCAATTTTAAATTCGTTTTCTTATAAAGTGCATAATTAAATTGGCAACATATCAAAGTTTTTAGTGTATTTATAATACTTCTATACAAAGAAACTGCAATTACACATTTTCTGACGTACATTCGTGCTTTTCAGTTTGGAAACCATTTAAATTACATGATACATCTTTCTGCCGGTGATAAAATGTACATTTTCGAGGATGACAGTAAACTATGGGCAACTGTGTAAAAATTTATTATTGAGGGATTTGAGATGCCTTGTCTTACCGTTATGACGACGATGATGACAGCGCAGGCGAGTGTTCCAGCCGCAATGAACACGTTATGCAGATGATCCAGATGGATGGAAATGGGCATCTGTAGGTCCAGCTGACTGTCCCTGTTGCTGGGCAGGGCCTTGGGGATCGCTTCCAGTACGAATTCTTCTGTTCGCACACATTACATTTATTTCCATTGTGGTAAAATCGCAAAGATTTAACGTGTATTATCTAAAGTTGGATAGCTTCTAGTTAAATTGGTAAGCATCAAACGCAGAAGGCTGAAGTGAACAGAACACTGTACCTTGACATGTTTTGCCCGTGTAGCCTGGTCGGCAGGCACAGTAGAATGAATTTACACTGCTCCAGCACGTGCCCCCGTTGAGACATGGGTTCACACTGCAAGCCTGCAACACTTTGACTGTTTTAACACTCAAATGTATAGAGTGCTGTATGCAAACAGGTTAGACCTCAAAGTCCAAAAGTGAGCAGAGCATAAATAGTTCGTTGGTGACCTACAAATCTGACGTGTAGCATAGAGAGGGTTACAAAGATGGACGAGGGCGTAGTTGGTGACAAAATACCCAGATTACGAGGTAATTATGATAGCATTAAATACGCATGCACGCATCCATGATCTAGGACTAATTAGAACCAGCGGCCCACAGCTGGATCTGTCTGAGACCTTGCGTGCCTGAAGCAGGCTCCATAGTTGAGGTCTGTGTAGCCCTAAATGTTCCGAATGCGGGAAAAGTATCTGGATCAAAGTTAGATGTGGAAATTAAATAATATCTGAGTATGGAACTTGGAACGAAAACATTGAGTGAGAATAACATGCTGAGAAGGATATACGTATGTAGCTAGGAAACATGACGTAACAGAGAAACGGATAAAATTACACGATGAACTTTAATGTTTTATTTTTCATCTAATTTTGGTTTAAAGAATAAATTGAGGAGTATAAGATGAGCAGGATACTTGGCATGCATTTTGGAATTTGATTAAACACACAATTTTAGTTGTGAAAGCTTACGTGAATGGACTACGTGGGACGTGGAGGCTTAGAGTGGAGTAGATAGGCGTAATAAAAGAGATAATTAAATAAATATAGGCCTAATAATAATAAAATAATATTTCTTAAATGAGGTGTGAAGCTGTGGACTGTAATCAAATAGCTAATTATAGAGGCCCGATGGCGGGGATTTTTGAATATGATGGACCTCTAGATAATATAATAATAGAACATTTCTTTATCTACTGAAGGCAGGCTCTCTGTTGCGGAATTTGTTCGTTAGCTATCAAATAAGACGACAATTCATTACGTTTATAAAGTTTCCTTGTTTCAGACAAGTTTAGATTTGAAAAGGAAGTACTCCGCACTAAGTTTTTAACGTACTGAATCCATTTTGATTCTTTTGCACGTATGATGGATCCAAGTTGGGGCGCCACTTCCTTACGATACTTACGGCTTTTGATGGAATGAGGCAGTCGGGCCCTGCGAACCCTTTTGGGCACTCACAGGAGTAGTTGTTGCCTCGGTCTACACAGTAATGGTGATCAGTGCACGGGTTTGGATCACATAGGTCGACCTATCGACAAGCACCACAACCAAAACCACTCAGTGGAGATAATGACGTTTGATATTTGGAGGCTACGTTAAAAATTGTAGGGCGAATTAAATTTTGGGTCTTGCAGGTCTGATTAATATAGGCCTAACCCACAATTTGTATGACGCTTTAATCAAATGTTCCTAACATAAAAAACTAAAAGTAGTTTAAAAAGTGTAGCGTGGAAGAATATATGTATCTTCAGGATCAATCAGTTTAATCTGAAATATTTTCTGGTATGGTGAGTAATAAATAAAATTAACATAAAGTAATTTATGGTTCCAAGTATTTTCTTTGTGGCTGATTAGCTCTGAACAATTAAACGTATACATTAACTGAATTACTCCGGAATGAAAGGTTGAAATGCAACATTGGTATAATTAAATTCATGACCAGTGTAATTAATATACTTAGCGTAGTATTTTATATTTTTAATAACTCTGTCAACAGAATTTCAGACACTATGCAGCGTGGTAACAGCAGCCTTCACTAGCCCAGCCAACAGTGGATTTGTGTCTGTAATGAATTGACATCGTAAAAATAACGAGCTGCCGGCTGTCTCACCTTGACGTGACAGCGTTTGCCCGTGTAGCCTCGTCCACATATGCACATGAAAGTACCGATGTGGTCCATACATGTTCCTCCGTTGACGCAAGGTGAAGACTCGCATTCGTCGTACTCGTATTCGCAGTGCTGGCCAGCGAACCCTGTAAAATCACACACATTCTATTAAGTCATGGATAAGTGCTGGAAAAGGCCTGGAAAGGTTCTGTGGAAGTCTTCAAAGGGTGGGTTTGAACCAGTCGGTTAGGTTGGATTTGTTCAAGTCAGATTGGAATACGTTACATTTGTTTAGGTTGCGTTGTTTTGGGTTACTTTGAGTTAGGTTAGGATAGGTTAAGTTAGGTTAGCTTTAGTTAGGTTAGGGTAGGATAGGTTAGAAAGGTTTGTGTTGTTTTATGATGGGATGGGTTGTGTACTGGAGAATTAATAGCGTGTTTTAAGGTGGTCGTGAGGCGCCCTAAAAAGTGCTGGAGAAGTCCTGGAGAAATTCTGGAACAGTCGCAGATTAGTGGCGGAGAAGTCCTTTTGAGGATATACGTAAATATTTTAGGCTAATTGAAAAGCTGAAGAATTCCTGGAGAATTTTTGGAAATATTCTATATAAATCCTAGTTTAATTCCGGAGAAGTCCTTTTTACGATTTACGTAAATATTTGAGTCATAGTGAAATGCTGGAGAATTTTTTGAGAACTCCTGGAAAGGTTCTGTGGAAGTCCTTAGGCGGTGGGATTGATCCTATGTTGGTTAGGCAGGATTAGTTAAAGTTAGATTGGTATAAGTTAATTTGGGTTAGGTTGCGTTATTTTGGGTTAGCTCGGGTTAGGTTAGGTTAGGTTAGGTTAGGTTATGTTAGGTTATGCTATGATAGGTGGTTGTGAGGTGCCCTGATCAAGTGCTGGAGAAAACCTGGAGAAATTCTGGAAAAATTCTGGAAACGTCCTAGGTTAGTGGCGGAGAAGTCCTTTAGAGGATTTATGTAAATTTTTAAGTCATCGGCGTTCTTCGACGGCTGCAGACCGTCCGCCCATTTGTTGACAAGCTCATGGAACCTAACAGACACTTATATATTGAAGAATTCCTTGTTTTGAAGGAACACAAGAGTTGCTAGCCAACATCGACATCTTCAACGCCATGAGAACCTCAAAATCTTATGAAGCATCCATCAGTGCACTGTAAGACTTCTACCTATACAAGACGACTTAGGACAGTCTTAACATACATCTAAGCTCCGAGTTGGATTCCAAGCTAAGAACGAACGCCACCTAGTGAAGATCTCTGGGCCACAGGAATTAATAATGATTACCTAACCACCCACCTGGCTGACAGAAGCACCGGTAGCCGTCTTGCTGGTCCACGCAGATTCCATGCACGCATGGTGAAGACACACATTCGTTCAGGTTGTGTTGGCACAGGGTTCCACCGAACCCAGGACCACAGTCACAGCGGAACTGCGTCCCGTTGCGCACGCATGTGCCCCCATTCTGACATGGCGACGAGGCACATGGGTCTGTTTCTTCTTGACACGTCTTGCCAGCATAACCTGAAATCATGTGCTGAAGAAGTGTCAACTTAGAAGCTTCTTAACGAGAAAATTACTTTTGTGTGCTGGTGGTATAACTTCTACGGAGAATTTTCCACTACCAAAACTTACATTAAGCTAAAGTCTCGGTTTGATTCATCTCATGTGTAGTCTGCACCCGTTACCCTCCCTATCGCAATCTTTCCTAGTAACAAAATTGTTTAAAGAACAATCTGTCTTCTTTACCATGTGCTCAGGGAACCCGTAAAATAACTTGTCTCTACGGCTCTGATATTTTGGCATGTTTAATATGTTATCAGTGATATATTAATTGTAGATGTTTGCTACCATTTAGTCTGACATTTTTATCTTTGTTCTACCTAAAGAATTGAAGATTAAAACCTGCGAAAGTGTAATTTTATCTCGTTTTCTTATGGGTTTGAAACTTGTTCCTTCTCTCCCAAGGAACCATAGATGGAGAATGTTTCAGAAGATAATGTTGAGTGTTACAGTTGAACTTGAGAAAGTGGACGACGTATAGCATGTCAATACCATGGACGAGGTGCATAGACTAGAAAGTGCTGGAAGATTTGATAGGAAGAGATAACTGTTGAGGGAAAAATAAACTATTTGAATTAATTCGAAATGCGTTATACTTTATTGTATTTTTGATATGAAATATTCAGTGGCTTTACTAATATGAATTTGCCCATTTCCCCCACTTCGCGCTAAAAGCAGAAAATGTTGCAAGACTAATTTGAAGCACCTTTCCACGGCGTGGCATTAAAGTGTCTTTTCACGTCTTTATAACCTCCTTTTCGTATAACAGCCTTCTGAAATTTGTGGCTTTCTGAAAGCGTCCAGTGTTTGTCCCATTAGTGGAAGAAGGAATGAGTTGTCAGTATACTTTATTCCTCCCTGGTGGATCCACAGCCGCGTAAAAACTGTGGGCTCACGTGTATTCTTTGTAGACAGGCAGTGAGCCGTGGAAAGACTGAAGGTCGATATCCGCTTTTTTGTGGAAGGACCTCACTTCGAACTTGGTGTCAGGATTATGTATGTATATAGATGCATACGCACGAACAGTTCATCGCATTTGGAAAACACCCGGTTTGAGTATAGGCCACGATACCAGCAAACATGGCTGGTCTGTCCTCATTGTTGTCAGCCTCTGCAAGACTGCTGAGTAATAATTTAAAATAAGCCACTACTGAGTGTTTAAACATGCTATCCCATTCACTGAACATAATCAGCTTATCACCATATTCGATACTAAATAATCACTGTAGCTGATACAGTGCTGTTAAGTAAGCGACGAGTTTCAGCGAATGCTACAAGAGATTAAAGCCTACATGGACGCATTCTTGTAATGCCTCGGTAATTAGGTAAAAATTATGTAGTAATTTGGCTACTGAAACCGCCGACATTGAGGCTGCTAGAGTTCGAGAAGAATCTTCTTTGTAAGTTTTAATGCCATTTGCTTTACCATTAGTTGTTTTACAATAGTTACGCCTTATTCAGTTGTCATCACCACATCCCGTGGTTGCTATATTGCTGTTTATCGGCATGCAAAGTTGCTTAGTTTTCACAAAAGGATTGAATGGCTGTAGTGACATCATTGCCTCACAAGTTTTCACGGCCACCATGTTGGAGTTGTGGAAGACGGGAGTATTAGAAAGGAACGGCCTATTGCAAACAAGGAGGCATAAAATAACAATGTTAATCTGATTGGGGTATACGTTATAGCTGTTTCATTACAGTGAAATTCACAAACTCTCATTCCAAATAGGATGATTGGAACTTAGAATGAAAGAATATAGTCTAGGAGTTCGCAGTCCGCGGCGGCGCTAGAGTCGCTGCCACTTCACAAGTTCGTGCGGTCGCCATGTTGCTATTGCCGAGTACGATTTTAGGTAAGCCTCCTTTATATGCGTAACTTCCACACCGATCATAAAAATCCGTCCAGCGGTTTTTGAGAAAAATCAAGCAGACGGACAGACAGATGGTAGTCAGCCCTGCATATGTCCATTTCGTGCACATCTTGCAACGAACGCATAAAAAGAGACTGGGGTTAATTGTCGCAATAAGAATCTTTGTTGTCGTTGCCTTGTTCCCGTTTTTATTTTTAATGCTGTACATTCGAACAGTTTGTTTGACGCCATTTCTTGTACAGTACAAAGACCTATAATCTCACAAATTAAGTGAGCTTATTGTGATTTTATCGTTCTGTATGCAAGACAATGGACGAAGGAGGCCGTGGAATGACTATGTCTCAGCTGTGGCGACAAAGGGAGTCGAAATGGGTCATGAAAAGTGCTGTAAGCCACTGTTGGCGGTCAAACTTTGTTGGTGCTGCTGCCTGGAGTGTGAAATAGCAGCAATGGTCTGGACTTGAACAATGTAGCAAAGCCACTAATTCGTAGAGGAAATCCCTTGCTCGCAGTTTGCCAAGACCGTTACCCTCCTGTTCCGTCTCTGTTCTTCCATTGATTTATTACATCAATTCACCATTCTGAAGTAAATCTTTCTTTCTCTGTCTCTCTTCATTTTCCTCTAAATTCTAATTGTTGCTCTGTTCGTTGTTGCTATGCGTTACAATCTAGTGTGCGTAATTCCCTACTGGTCATCCGACAAATGCACCGTCTACAAAACTCGTACATGAGCGTTTATAGAGTCTGATCGGTGTATTGAGTAGGTACGCGGTTCGACCTTTGCTGTGTACTGATTAGCCGGGCATTCTAAATAATAATCAGTGTCGACAGGAGAGCCTTGGTGAATCCTCCAAACAGCGATCACTTACTTCTACTTCCCGCCATTTTGGTGGTCATAAATCCTGTTATATGTCGTTTAACTCTATATAGTCCGAACTTACGTAATTGGTAATTTACGGTGCCATAAAACAATTCTTTATCTAGTCGACTTCAATAGGCAACGATCCACATTATAGTTTTATTATTCAGTTCTTGCATGTGAGGTCCTACTTTATGGTCTTACGTTTATAAATTGGTTATGGTAATATTTTTGTTTGTGAAATTATTCGTGTAGGATGTGAAGATGAACTCGAACACGGAGGTGACAGACAATCTTGATATACTTTCGATTGTATTCAACGAATGGACTGAGAAAAACAAGACGTAAATAGATTTCAGAACGCTTACTGAATACGAAATGAGTGTCACATGTATTTTAGTGGTGTCAAAATAGCCATTTGCTTTGCTTCCATTTCACGATATTTTAACATTTCGCTGAAGGAGCAAGGATCTCTGAAACGTTGGTTAACTTATACCAG